TGTCTGGTGGCTATATACACTGTGTGGTGGCTATGTACACTGTCTGGTGGCTATATACACTGTCTGGTGGCTTTATATACTGTCTGGTGGCTATATCACTGTCTGGTGGCTATATACACTGTCTGGTGGCTATATACACTGTCTGGGGGATATATACACTGTGTGGTGGCTATATATACTGTCTGGTGGCTATATCACTGTCTGGGGGCTATATACACTGTCTGGTGGGTATATACACTGTGTGGTGGCTATATACACTGTCTGGGGTCTATACACACTGTCTGGTGGCTATATACACTGTCTGGTGGATATATACACTGTGTGGTGGCTATATATACTGTCTGGTGGCTATATACACTATCTGGTGGCTATATACACTGTATGGTGGTTATATACACAGTTTAGTGTCAATATTCACTGTCTCGTGGCTATATATACTGTATGTTAAATATGAAAAGAATTTTGTAGAAAACATTCAGAAATTATACCTGCCATATCAGTGATAAGGTTACACTAAATGTGCAGTTTCTGATCAATGTTGACCAGGCGTAACCTTCTTCAATGTGATAGTTGGACAAAAATTATAAAAAGAATTTTGTAGCTCTAGATCATTCAAAAATATCTCCCATATCAAATGAATAATTTACAGAAGATTTTACTTTGTAAAAAAAACACTGTTCAGTTATCCGAAGGAAACACATACAAAAAGAACATAAACTATCTTTAAAAAGTTTATCGATAGAGCATGTGAAAGATACAGAATTGAAAATGAACTTTACAAATTTAATGTATAGGAAGTATAAGTGAAAAAGGAGAATGGTACATTACAAGTGTTATTTATGAGCTGGGGAGAAACAGATGGGAACTGAAGAGAAAAAATGTGAAGGCAGAAGGGGACAGAGAAGAGCATGGGAACCCGATATACAGTTATAAACTAGAATCTTTACAGCATATTTGATGAAATAGTTTAATTTGAATAGATATAGAACATATATGCAACTCCCACCATGCATACATAATTCTATTTTATCAACAAATTTAGAAAATAATTTTTATAAGTTCACATAGACGTGTTTTTATTTTTTGAAAATGAAAATAAAGTTGTAATTTTTTTATTTATTTTTTTATCTTTCCTACATTATTTTCATCTCCTCAAACACATCGAGGGGGTAAGAGATTTTTGTGTTGGTGCACATGTTTTTAAACATTTATATTCTGTGCTGAAAACCTAACTGTACCGCCATGTTGCCTCTTATCTGCACTCTTACACACTAGGGGGAGGAATTAGGGGATCAGATGAGAACCCTGATACCCAACCATAAATGAGGGGAGGTAAATCCCTCCCCAGCTTCCGAAGGGTTGTACATGGGGTACAACAAATCCACCCAAATCTTTCTGAATGGAATCAGCTGTCGTCAATTATATTCGCATTCGGAGAGACTTTGTTAGGCAAGGTTCTGCCTACCTGATGGGAACACCTACCAATTCTCAAAGACAGTAAGATCTGCCGCAATCTACCACTGTCCCTATTTTACGGAACCACCGGCTTGTGTCGGGGGAAACCCCCAATCCCGGGTATTTGAAATTGTCCATTAATTAAGTTTGTAGGTATGAGTAATATCTTTAGTGGAGACTGGCCATTACATACTGCTGTAGCAGATTAATAATCAGGGTTGTGTAATGAACTGATTAGTCGACTGATAGGCACAGGTCAGGATGGGAGGGTCCTCCTGAGCCACCTGACCCCCACAAATTGGCAGCAGATGTGGAGTCCTCCCCTAGCTGCTGATGAAGTCTGCCGAATGACAAGCCAAGGACATTCTTCAAAAGTTTAAATCAAAACGTGGTATATCATAAAAAAAATACTCACTTCACGAAATTAAATAAGGGAAGAAATTATAATATGTATTAACTCTGTTGCAGCTTTAAATCAAATGTGTAATCATGAACCAGAACAGTTATGACATGTCTCTAAGTTTTGAAATAATGTGTTTAGGTTGATGAATTAAAGAGATATTATTATCAAATACTTGTAATTTAAGCATTACATAGTTTCTTGGTTACCAAGTATTAAATGTTATTTTGAAAATGTCTTTTTTTGAAAGACACAAAAGGATTTTAACACTATTCCAACAGGTGTCTGACCACCATAATACTGTATTATAGCACAAAATACCAGACAGATAAACACTTAATGGTTGTGGTACATAACTTTTCTGCTATTCATACTTACGTTTGTGATACATAACTTTTCTACTATTCATACTTATGGTTGTGGTACATAACTTTTCTAATATTCATACTTACCGTTATGATACATAACTTTTCTACTATTCATACTTACCGTTATGATACATAACTTTTCTACTATTCATACTTACGGTTGTGATACATAACTTTTCTACTATTCATACTTACGGTAATGATACATTATAGAATTGTATTTGACAAAACTTGAATAGGCAGCTATTTGATTGACAATACTAAAGCATTCATTATTTATCTGTTTTATTTGAGAACTACACGAGGCAATATTTATTTGTGTGTGTTAAACAATACTTATAAAGAAAATTAAAAATGCTTGTATTTGACAATGGTAAAGAAAAACTATATATCTGCCAATATGAACCCAGGCCTTCACTCTAAACAAGAACATTTATATCGCCATGAACCATGAATGTCTTGATATGATTTCTAACTTAATTACGGGTTTGCATTTTTTCGCTTAGATTTCCAAGAACTAAATTTGCCTAGCCTAAGCAGTTGGAGAGCTTTATAAAAGGGAGATAACAAATGGGAAAGGAATATTTCTATCTGAGATATAAGTGGCTAGATTTATTAACAACTGTCAAGTAACGTTGTAAACCTGTGTGGAGAAAAGCAATTTGGCATTCAGATATATAGATGGTTAGATACAGTGCTAAATGTATCGACACTTATACAAATGGAAATACATTTCAAAGAAATCTTCCCACAATGGCCTGTGAAAGTTTTGTTTTTGAAAAGTCTTAGAAAAGAGAGATCTTTTTTGGAGACAACAGAAAGGCAAAGGTAAAAGGAATTGTGTGTGTTGGGTGTTTACATCCCGGAGGAGTGTGTATGATGATATATTTATTACGATATGAGTAGGTACCTGATGCTGCGGACAGCTGCCTATACCGGTGTGCATTTGTTTGTATTAAAAGATTTCCATCTCCTCCAAATGTAATAAACTTAGATAAAGATATCTAAAGAATTACCTACAGACTCCACTGCAGATATGCCATTCTCCTGTGTAAGTTGTCTTAATGAATTTACTGGAGCTCTTCAATATAGGAGATACAAAACACATTTCTGACAACTTCTCCTCAATATATAAATAAAGATTTCATTATTTTTTCTGAAGCAATTTCCCTATTTCTTAGTTGCAAAAACTCTTGTAAGAGTTAGGTATATGCTTGAATGTGTTGTAATTGAATTGATTATATTGAAATTCAGCTTTCTATCTTTAATTGGAGAGAAAGGGCCTATTGAAAACTCTACATAAGCAAGCATTGTGGGGGTATGGTACATTATGGTCAAGTGTGCTAACTCGATTCCCTCATTCCCCTTGCTGTGCAAACACTTGTCCAATTCATTACCATTGTGTGCAAGTTGAAGGACTCATAATTTTGAATATTAGTGGGCCCGGGCGGGATCAATAGCAGAAGCGCGGGCCTAACACTATTTAGGCGCTATTTCTGTTGTACACCAGTTATGGGATCGACTGTAGCCCATGGTCCCCAGTGCTGTTTCATTAAGACTACAATGGCCACTGACCTGTTATTGGAGGTCGTTATTATCATCCTTGAATTAATATCTTTCACGTTGCGCATTCCGCCAGTTGAAGGAATCTGTCTCTAATGGTTAAAAAATCAATGGCCTTTTTTCTGCCCTCCATCAATGGATCGATGAGCTGATGAAATTCCCCTACATCAATGGCTATTGTTGAACCTCGATGACTAATGATTTTCTATGCTCATTTGGTCACATTGCCGCACTTGGTAGTTTTCACAAATTTGTTGTCCCCTCTCCATCATGACGGACATGTAACGTGCTGCAGGTTTGTCACCGCGTCTCTGCCTAGGGAGCCCTCTGCTGGCCAAGTTCTTTAGTCTCTGGTCACGACTGTCACTCAACTTCATGGTCAAAATCGGCTGTCAAAATCTGTCGTGATTTCTGGTAGAGCGGGGAAATTGTTGGTCCAGATTCGTCTGTGATTTCTAACAGATTATCAGTGTTACGGTAAGTCTCGGGCCTCGACTTGTTGTGATTGATATAGACGCGGGTACTCTGGATCCCGCGGACCACACAGTCACATGTACTTATGCTGGTGCACTCTACTGAAAGTTTAAATGTAAAGATTGCTTTGAAAATTCATTGTGATCTAAAGAAAAATCAAAAATGTTTTAACAGAACTATGTAAATGTGTGATGCAGTTTTACCTCATTTTAGAAAATGTGAACGACTGGTTGATTTTCCATAAATCCATTTTGCTCTGAAGCATTTAATTTGTGTAAGAAAGCTTAGTGAGATATGTTTGTACAGATCCTAAAATGCTTTGTCTAATTGTAAAAGATAACTGATTAATTTGTTTTTTGAGCAAAACTGCAAATTTTTGAAATACATGGAGAATATTCAATGGTTTTCTTTGGATTACCATGTACTTTTCATGAGTATGGCAGAGCACGGATATTTTTCCTGATTACAAAGCTATGAATAAAGAGTATTGGTATATCGTGTCATGTTTCTTTCTTTCAGAAAGTGTTGACTTATACATGTATTATTTTTCAATATAATGCTCTCTTCATGATGCATCATATGCATCAAAATGTTAACGAGTTTATTCTCAAATTTTGATTGTGAAAATTCATGTTTCATTGGTTCATCTAGATATCGCTATTCCTTATTTAATTCTCTTTCAAAGGAAAACAATAGCTATCTATTTTATTTATATTTTGTTTATTTTTTATATATTTCAGAGGATTGATATAACCGAAACTGAAAGACAAAAGTAGATTGACCATGGAACAGCCATCTTGTTTTTTTGTCACCATGGAGACCTTGCCTTTTGTGTGACATCTTTGTTGGTGAGTCAAAACCCCAATTGCATCCATCTAAAGTGCCTGATGGGCTTGTCATGGCTCAGCGGATAACCCTTTATTTTCTCCAAGAATTTCAGACCAATTCTTCAGTTTCCATAGCAATGTAAAAAAAAAAAAGCATGGAGAAAAATTCTTCATTGTTTGAACAATGTTGTTTACATGTTAGCATTATCTTGCTATGTCGTTGAAAATCCCCTCTGTGTAACAAGTTAAACAGTTTTTTTTTTATTGAAATAAATTAATCTTAGGATTTGATGAATTTCTTCTTTGTCTGCTGCGATTCCTAATGATTTTTTTTTGCTAATATTGTTTCAATATAATATGCCATTGATTTCACAAGTCATTCTTGACTTCTGAATTAACAAAAATTAATATGTTCAATTAACAATTATAAAATAATATCTAATGCTTTTAATCTAATTGTAACAGTGTTAGAATATTATGAGATTATTTAAGGATACAGAAAATGTAAGTCACTTGTAATATATAACTGTAAATGAAATGTATCAATTATTCATGGAAAGAAAATTTATCATATTTCACAAAAAGTATTAAAATATTTTTCTGAACAGTTTTTGGTTAATGGAAAAAGAAGTGATATCTTACAACATTTTTTCTATTTTTTTTTTAAAGAGGTGGCTTCTTTACAAAGGTCCCAGATTTGTGTATCCATATCATATATGGTCTCTTTACAATGCAAGAGGTGGTCTCGTCACAAAGGTGTTGGAACCAATTAATTGTATAAAAGCAGATCTTCTGATATAGGTCCTAGAATTTTTTCTTAGATAGTAAGACGTGATGTCTTGCACAGGTATAAGATTTTGCACCTATAGAGTACCGTTCAAGCATTAATGATATAATTTAATTATATGTGGGACAGTGCACTATATCTCCCCGACTGGCCAGATAGGTCCGACAAGGAGACAATGAACGACAGCACTCTAGCCGACTCTAACCGACTCTAACCTGGCACAAGTACTTTTAGAAACATTACCCGGAATTAAAATGTCAACTCTGTTTCATTAAGTATAGATCAGTCTTTTGTAGTGTAGTAATCTTTGTATGGAACATGACTGGTGGAAACCCTTGTATAAAAGGTTATACTTGTAATCAAGGAGTGATAGGGGATTAGAGAGAAAAGCCACCCAAGGTTGCAGATAGGCCTGGTCCGGAGGCTGATAGATGAAGGGCAATACTCCAATCACAGATACGGGCCAAATTTTGAATTCAACAGTGTGACTTTATCTTCCTAAATTAAGCAATGATTTATTAATTTGTGTTGCAGTTGTGACGGGGAGTTGGCAGAGTAGATGATTGTATCCCATATACACTATACATTGGCAGTTACCAATCTCTTTAGTCTCACTTACAAAAATACTCTGGGCTTGTATTCTAGTAGAATTATGTTTAAAATTCAGCTAAGCTATATCCGGACATTGCTTTGATTTTTCTCTGATATTCATCTTAATTTAAAAGAGTGTCTTGTCATGAACATTTTTATCAGTACATATCAGACGGAGAAGATATAACCCCGATCTATCACGATGAACAGGTTGATCACAGTTTTAAGTGGCATTTTACGAATTGATATTTTTTTGTTTTAAATTTCGTTCGCAACTTTTTTTATAATGTGATAAGCAAAGTAATTTTGTTGGTTTTCTATTTTGCTGTGAAGGTTAACTGCCCTTTAAAATTCTGTTTTGACCGAACTTTGATGAAACACAACTTGTCAGGTGAACAGATTAAAAGATTTTGTTTTAATATAATATACATCTGTAGAAACAGTGATTTAATACAATATAGGTTATAAATATTGGTTAGATATTAATCAAGATGATTACATTTCCATTACATTTAACCCAATCCATTGTTAAGTTTAAACAGATACTGAGATAATAAAAAGAAATTATTCATTTAATTTGATATATGTTAACTCATTATGCCTGTACAAATTATATCTATGGAGGAATGTAATAATCAGTTGGGAAGGGTTTAACAGAAGACCATTATATAATATAGCTCAATACACATGGTCCTCTAATACAGGTGGTCTTGTTTATACAGGTTATAGGTAAATGGAAGTTATTGGTGTTAAATGTAACTGTCAAATGACCGACATGGTCCCTTCATGCAGGTTATAGGTAAATAAAGATTATTGCGGTTTCATAATATTAACTTGGTCATTTTAAAAGGTTTATAATAGCTGAATTAAGATTAATGCTTATTAATGATCTAAACATGGTCATTTTTAAGATTATAGCTGAATAAAGATTATTAGCGTTTCTTGTGTAATGAACATGGTCTGTTTATACAGGTTATAGGTAAATGAAGATTTCTGATGTTTCTTGCAATCAACATGGTCCCTTTATACAGATTAAATAAAGATTACTATGCTATCATTGAAGTTATTGGTAAATAATTACATCAGTTAGATAGAAACATGATGGTACCTTTATACAGGTTATAGCTAAATAAAGATTACTGATGTTTCTTGCAATCAACATGGTCCCTTTATACAGATTAAATAAAGATTACTATGCTATCATTGAAGTTATTGGTGAATAATTACATCGGTTAAATATAAACCTGATGGTCCCTTTATACAGGTTATAGCTAAATAAAGATTACTGATGTTTCTTGCAACCAGCATGATCCCTTTATACAGGTTAAATAAAGATTACTGATGTTGCCACTGAAGTTATTGGTAAATAATTACATCTGTTAGATAGAAACATGATGGTCCCTTTATACATGTTATAGCTAAATAAAGATTACTGATGTTTCTTGCAACCAGCATGGTCAAGGATACAGGTTAAATAAAGATTACTGATGTTGCCACTTAAGTTATTGGTGAATAATTACATCTGTTAAATATAAACATGATGGTCCCTTTATACAGGTTATAGCTAAATAAAGATTACTGATGTTTCTTGCAATCAGCATGGTCCCTTTATACAGGTTAAATAAAGATTACTGATGTTTTCAGCATGGTCCCTTTATACAGGTTAAATAAAGATTACTGATGTTTCTTGTAATCAGCATGGTCCCTTTATACAGGTTAAATAAAGATTACTGATGTTGCCACTGAAGTTATTGGTAAATAATTACATCTGTTAAATATAAACATGATGGGCCCTTTATACAGGTTATAGCTTAACAAAGAATTATAATACAAATTGTATAAACCAATTGTTCAATGATATAAGGGATCCTATATTAGTTTGTATTTATATATTGATAGTGTTATTTTACCAAACAGTTAATGACCCTTGCGTTCAGAGACCTGTAAATGGTAGATATGAATATTAAACAACTACCAAATGTGTCAATAAAACCGGATCATGCATCCCTCAAAAATTAATTTCATCTCTTTAAGACAGAAAAATGTTTACTGTCAGATTTGGATTTCTAAAGGGGGAAGTGAATGTGAAAGATTTCCATAGCTTTTCTGGAGAATGTCACTGTTGACAGGGACACGAGCATCATCTATTGGTCGTGGTGTGGGTTGCCATCCCTCCAGTACATGGGGACATTCACTAAGCCAGTCTCATTACTGTATATGAGCTTCCAGGGCTCGGGGCTATTTACCCCCAAACTGTGTACTTCACGGCACTTTTAGCAACAATCTAGTCTTTATAAACAATGCGATATTGATGACAGCGTCTCCATGTTCTTCATTAGCCGTTTCTATTACTCACTGAGTCATTCGCCTGATATTAATTCCTTCACAAACTTGTGGTATTTTGTCAGAAATCACGGAGAGAATTGGATGTCGTGGTTACGCTGATATTTCATTATCCTTGATTTCTTGGGCAACGGCAGGCCCTGTACTCTACTGTGACAATCGAGGAATAACTGAATTATCAAAATATTGTCCAATTCTGTCTCGGCGATGGCAACACAATGAAAATCCAGGGAAAACGGTCTGCGCTAATGAATCAAGATGGAGAGGCAACGGTAGTTATGATAACATGGCTCGACCAGTCGAAGTTAAATCGATGTTGGAAGAAAGGCGAATTATGATTCAGGAAGAATTTCCTCTTGTCATAAACAGGTTAAACGTTGGGAAGATCTTGGGGAGCAAATTGGATGTTGGATATTTATATCCTTCTCCATTTGTTTTCACATCATTAATAGGCTGAATGGATTTAGACAGAGGCTTCTATTGTTGATCGGCTCTAGTTGTAACCAACTATAGATCTTCACCTTGACAAATGTGGCATGAATGTCTTACATGCGAGTGTTCCCCGTGTTCCTGCCTTGCTGATGACTTTTACTTCAGACCTGAAAATTGAATTATGGAAGAAATACAAGCTTTAATTTACAATAAAGTTCCCTAGCTGCTGTAAAGATGACTGCAAAATTTCAATTATTGACTGTTAAATTTCAATTATCTTTTAACAGATATTTACATAAGGCAGATTGATATTAAAACAAGGGATTTCTTTTAAACTGCTACATGCCAATTTGTGGTGATGTAACGTGTGATTTTAGGATTTAAGACAGAATTTTGTATCGGACAATCTTTCATACTGACAGAGTTACCGCCCTTGGTAGTTGGGTATCTGTTATATATCAGCTGGGCGACACAAATTTTCTATGTAGCGGTAAGAAAGATATGTGCAATACCATGTTAATTAAAATTATTTATTTTAGCCTAGAATTAAAATTAATTTAGTATAATATATTGATATTTTTTGTAGGGGACTGTGACACCTATTTGATTAATGTCTCTGTGTTCTAGACCTTTAGTCTCAGCATTGTTTGGTTAGCTGTTATTCAATGAAATCATTAACCCTTGTTTGATGACAATGCCTTTATTCGTCCCCGATCTTCAATTGTTGTAGGATCTTATTTTTTCATTGAGAAATTGGACCAAGTTTTTGTGTGCAGGGAAGTAGATCCAGAAAACAATAGTTTGGAACAATACATCACTTCTCAAGTTGGCTATAAATATATCGACTGCCTCAAACCCATTCAAGTATTTCGCATCAATATTTCCATATGTGCCAGCATTTATTTACACCTAGACTACAGCAGTTATCAATAAACAGCATTGTATAATGTTAGGAGTTGTTGATAGAGACACACAATAAACTATCGGGTACAAATATTCACACTATACATGCTAATCCTGTGAAGCCACGCTATTGAATTCTATCAAAAAATCCCTCCAAGATAGGGGTATCCTGGCCCAGCTACTGATAAAACCCCTTTCCTTACACAACGACAATCCCCTCTCAGCCTGGTTTATACAGCTAGGTGGTGGTCTTCATGAAAGTAAAATCAGTTTATCTTACAATTTACTCCATTTTGTTTGAGAAGAATTCTATATAGTGAACAATGAAATAACAATAGTATTGATGACATTTGATAATGCTACAGTGTTCTATACCACTGTAATATTCCGGTAGAGAGTTCTACTGCTGTTCTACTGTATACATGCATTAAGATTAGTTTTCTGTTAAATTTTTTACTGTCTTTCCGTGTGTATAGATCAAGAAAATTATAGGCTGTGGACCTTTTTTAGGGAGTAGGAATATTTTGAAATCATTCTGAGGATGTATTAGCTCATTCACCCCTGCCTATCTAGACTGGACTTGTCCAGTCATTGATTTGGTATGGTGATAAATGTGACTTTAGGGGTGAATGAGTAAACTGCACAAATGTGATGATTTGTGCAGTGGACAGGCTCCCTGCTTTATATTTAACCCTTTCACCCATATGTAACTTAAGTAGACTCTTCCATGCATTGATATGGATGAGAACATTATGGTCTACAGGGTTGAAAGGGTTAAAAAGTCCAGTGTTTGAATCCCAATAATAAAGACTTGGAAAAGGAAATTATAGGAACTTTGATCAGATGCTAATTTATTTTAAAGGGAGATAACTCTTTAACACAACTTGGATTCAATGTGTAGCATCTATCCTTAACGAAAATAACTCAAACACATATTATAGATAAAGGGTAGGTAGCATATAACCTTAAACCGTATAACTGTCTGGTATTATAGAGTAACAGGTACACAGGGTGGAAGAGAGTGATAAGTCTGATCTCTATAGAGGTAGACCAACTCCAGTCAATATGTACTTGGTAGACCTACCCCAGTAACAGATTCACAGGGTGGAAGTAGTCATTAGTCTGATCTCTATACACAGGTAGACCCACCCCAGTTACTGTGTTAGTATGTGAGATAGGGAAGCCTCTATACACAGGTAGACCCACCCCAGTAACAGTTTCACAGGGTGAAAGTAGTCATTAGTCTGATCTCTATACACAGGTAGACCCACCCCAGTTACTGTGTTAGTACGTAAGATAGGGAAGCCTCTATACACAGGTAGACCCACCCCAGTAACAGTTTCACAGGGTGGAAGTAGTCATTAGTCTGAACTCTATACACAGGTAGACCCACCCCAGTTACTGTGTTAGCAAGGGATATACACAAGTCTCTATACACAGGTAGATCCAACCCAATAACAGATTCACAGGATGGGAGTAGCCATAAGTCTGATCTCTATAGACAGGTAGACGCACTCCAGTTACTGTGTTTGCACAGGAGATACACAAGTCCCTGTAGACAGGTAGACTCACCCCAGGAACAGAGTGACATTTGTGGGTTAGAGTACAGGAGATACGTAACAATGGTTTGTTTGACTTGCGACTTTTCTGATAGAGCCAATTACAGTTGATAATACACAAAGTCTGGCTAAAGACAAATGTGTGTTTAATGTCCACGTGGGATTGTTGTCCTGTAGCAGTACATTAATCCGTCCATTCTAGGGTAGGACAGATCGTGTTTCCACTCCCTCTTGTAATCCTTTTGTACGTGGCGATATCCCCGAGGAGCCCCCCCTTTCCAATACGAGGACACAAGTTTTATCCTATTGTTGTTGGGAAAAGACAAACAGGTGAATTAGAGAGACTGTCGAGGTTAAAGTGGGTCTTACATTGACAAGGGTGCAAACATTAGGAAAAAGGGCAGTGTTTGTTCCTGGCCCGATTGTAAGCGGACTGAACACAAACGGTGCATACTGGTGTAGCTAGGAGTCTTATCACTGGCCTATTGTACATATCTCAAGATATCTCGACCAATTGTTAACGAACGAAAGTGTTCCCTGATAGACGGGCGTCCGTCTGCTACTGTTTTTGGTGAGGACTGGGATAGGGTGTGTCCTGCTATTGGGAGACGGGCCTAAGTTTACTAGGGTGGATGTTATCGGGCACGGCGGTGCTTCCTGAAAGTGTTTAGGGTGGTGTACAGTACACACTCCGGGATGTTGACCTCAACAGCATGGCATGACCCGACTCTGTGACGCTTTAGGTAAGGTGATGTACTTTGTGGTAGGGTTATACTGAAAACCTTTACCAAATAATCAAATTTTATGATTCACTTTCTGAAAAATGTATTGCCAGATCAGTATTTTCCTTTTTTCTTTTCTGTTTTCTTTTCCCCATTTGAAAATACCTAGTTTTGGTCCAGAAAACATTGAAAGTACAATTCAAATGATGTCAATTGCTGAATGTCATTAGATATTTTCCTAATATATATGCATGTGCCATTGTGTTATGTAGATTATCAGTTGACAACTGTTGCTAAATTATAATGATCTCGAAAATGAGATGCACTCCAAAATAGAGCCTGCGACAGTAAGAGTGATAATGATTGTTTATTTTATGTGTGTTTGGTATAGTGAGTGTGTGTAGTCACAGCTGCTGCAGGGAAGCACATGATATATACAAGCTGTTTGATTCATTGAGAACTAGTTCTACAAAAAGCACCGGCAGTGACCTTGTGGGGAGCAGACATGGAGAAGACCGCGTTGTAGTCCCCTATAGTCCCCCTAGTTGGCCTTATTGTGCCTGATCTAACATCGGATGCCATAGCTTTGCCGAAAATTCTTCTTCATGCAAGAAAACTGCAAAACTGATTTTAAGAAAAGGTGATTTAATCTAGGACCTCTTTTTAATATAGCCATTACCACAACATTAAAAACCTTTAATCATACTTCTCTGGAAGACCGGCAGTGAGCGGAGATGTAATCGTGTCTTATGATATTGGGCTAGCACCTGACTTAATACCAGTAAGACAGCAGGCATCCCCAGTCTTATTGCTCGACTCCACTAGCGTTACCCTCGCCAGTGTTTCCCTCCCCGTCTCTACCAACCCCCTTATATTATAATGTACATTTGACAAAACAAAAGTTCCCACCACCACATCAGCTAGACCAGGATGCTGGAAACGGCAGCAAACGCTAACTCTACCAATTCCAAAAACATTTGATGTCAACTTTGCTTCTAGATAGACCTGCTGACCATTGCCGTGACCTTTTGACCTGACCAGCATCCGAACCTCCCCGACTCCCAAGTAAAACACAGCTAGGTAAGTACAGTACACATGACATCGTCAGAAGTTTGGTGGAGGGTAGTAGTGCTAGTGTTGTTGTGTTTATGGTACCACCAACAATCATTAAAGGAGAGCCCTGGTGATGATATCATTGTTCACTTATGTATGGGGGCATTCAGCACACTTTTTATCAGATATTTATTGTTTCTGAATCATTCACTTTGATTTCACAGGTCTTTGAGCAATGTATCACATAGATAGTCCTAGCTTCCCGTGAAAAAAACAAAAGTACTAGTCGTATGCGTTCTGTAGTTTTCTGTAGCGGGAGTTGGGTGTAAGATTTTCTTGATGTACCATAAACAATATACATTTGTAGTAAACCAGAATGAGTGACCTCTTGTGCATGTAGATTGAGGGATAATTATTTGATGAGAAATGCCAGGAAAGTGTAAGATATAAACAGTAGTAAACACCGACCTAACCCCAGCAGATGTGAGCTGTTCATACGTATCTTGGTCTGTGACATTGACGTCATATGAACCAAGCCAATCACCAGGCCACTTAGGGATTCTGTACGAAGCCATGTACTTTTGAAATCAGTTGAATAAGAAAATCACATATAAATATCCCATATAAAGAATAACTCCATCCAGTCTCTGTTATTCGGTCTTTGCGTATTGCAGAGTAATCTTCTCTTGGGAGCAGGTATTGATTGTTACGTCATTGGTTTGTGTGGGAATATTACGTCTTTTCTCAAAAACAAGTGACGTAACAATCAATACCTGCTCCCAAGAGAAGATAACTCTGCAATAGGAAAAGACAGAATAGTCTACCCAGTCACTGTTTCAATCTACCCAGTCACTGTATCAGTATACCCAGTCACTGTATCAGTCTACCCAGTCACTGTATCGGTCTACCCAGTCACGGTATCAGTCTACCCAGTCACTGTATTAGTCTACAAAGTCACTGTTTCAGTCTACCCAGTCACTGTATCAGTCTACCCAGTCACTGTATCAGTCTATCCTGTCACTGCATCAGTCTACCCAGTCACTGTATCAGTCTAGCCAGTCATTGCATCAGTCTACCCAGTCACTGTATCAGTCTACCCAGTCATTGTATCAGTCTACCCAGTCACTGTATCAGTCTACCCAGTCACTGTATTAGTCTACCCAGTCACTGTTTCAGTCTACCCAGTCACTGTATCAGTATACCCAGTCACTGTATCAGTCTACCCAGTCACTGTATCAGTCTACCCAGTCACTGTATCGGTCTACCCAATCACTGTATCGGTCTACCCAATCACTGTATCGGTCTACCCAGTCACTGTATCAGTCTACCCAGTCACTGTATCAGTCTAGCCAGTCACTGTATCGGTCTACCCAGTCACTGTATCGGTCTACCAAGTCACTGTATCGGTCTACCCAGTCACTGTATTAATCTACCCAGTCACTGTATCGGTCTACCAAGTCACTGTATCGGTCTTCCCAGTCACTGTATCGGTCTCCCCAGTCACTGTATCAGTCTACCCAGTCACTGTATCAGTCTACCCAGTCACTGTATCAGTCTATCCTGTCACTGCATCAGTCTACCCAGTCACTGTATCAGTCTAGCCAGTCATTGCATCAGTCTACCCAGTCACTGTATCAGTCTACCCAGTCATTGTATCAGTCTACCCAGTCACTGTATCAGTCTACCCAGTCACTGTATCAGTCTACCCAGTCACTGTATCAGTCTACCAAGTCAATGTGGTAGTTATAATTCGGTTATACTCATGATGATATGAACAGATATAAATAGTCGGGGAAAAGGGGTAAAATATACTGCGAAAAGAAAAGTTTTGCTGCCGTTTTAACTTTCACCTGTTTTACTCTTTGTAAAGAGTGCGAATTTATACGACAGAATATTTTATTTATCTAATATTGGCATACAGCAAAACATACATAGTTATTGCATGTGATGGTGAAACTAGCACTTGCCAAACATGGATTGTGCCAGTAAAGGGCAAATGTTGGACTGGGCGAATGTTCCTGGTATATAGTACCTGTTCAATAGAGTGAATGGGGACAGTGACTTTTCTCCTCTCTTCCTTCATCCTGTAAGAAAATAACTGAGGTCCTTTCTGGGTCATAAAATGACCAGTCAGTAATAATGTCTCAGACCTTTAAGCTATTGTTGTCATGACCAATAGTTTAAGGATGCAGGGAACTTGCTGTCAAGTGGATCTGTCCATTACATCCCCAAAGCTGACACCGCGGACTTCTGACAATGTTAACAGGCCACTATAACACCGGCCTGTAATGTTATACGCCTTTTGTGATTTACTTGGAATGTTCTTGTCTCTTTCATGTTCACATCTATTTCCATCAACTCTGAATACATAATTGTTTTCTTCCATTTGAAAGATTTCTGTCTACACATTCAGGAACATGTTTGCTAATGGGTAAACCTCAGTTTCATCAGCCCTTGTTCTTGTAGAAGGGCTTGTTCTAAGGGGGGAGTGATGAGTAGGCAAGTGTGTATGGAACATTTTATTATCCTGGTCACATTTTTGTCAAAGTGTGTGAAATTATACTGTGAAGGTGTAATATGAAGATAAATGAACATAGCATTGCTGGTCTATCAAGACTAATTAGTCTATACATAGATCACCTGTCTATAGGACGAACATTAAAAGCGTTCATTTTACACCAGTTGTACTTGTAGTGTATACAGTCGTGTTATATTTAGAGTAATCGTTTGGCTATATTTACATTTCCACTGCAAGTTCCTCTATAAGCATGACCATAAGAAATTACATTCATAGGGCTATGAATGCAATTGGATGAGCATCAGTTTGAAGTTTTTCCTTCTGCCTCGATTAACATGAGATAACCATTGGAAGCAAACATTTTGGTGGTGTTAGGCTGTACGAGGAATCTTGTTTGCAATGACGACAGACATTTCAATATTAAAATGTTAGGGAATACCTTTGTTTAGGTCAATAATAACTAAAAAAATTAGAATGTGTATATAAGTATTGAATGGCATTTTTTCAATGTTCAATGTAAATTGTTGACATACATATTCCATGAAGACATGGAATATGTATGTAACCAATTTGCGGTCATACTGGCATGAAATTAAAAAAATGCTGTTCAATCCTTACATAAGAATCAACGTATCTGTATATATTTGACCATTTGTTTATTGATTTAAAAAGTCTGCTGATATTAAACGCCTAGCTAGAGAGACAAAAGTACGATCATTTACCACCTGTCTACAGAGGTCAGTTAGTTTGTATACATTTGACAGTTTGACTTTTGTGGTCAGTTAGTTTGTATATATTGGCCACCTTCCTATAGAGTCCAATTAGTCTGCAGACAGTGACCACCTGTCTAGAGAGACCAAATCGTCTGCAGAAATATTGACCTGTCAATAGAGGCTCATTATATTCTATGGACAATGACCACCTATCTATAGAGACCATTTAGTCTGCAGTGATTGACTTCCTGTCTATAGAAACAAATTGGTCTGTAAAACATTCATTGACCTGTCTATAGAGGTCAAAGTCTATAAACTTTGAACACCTGCCTATAAAGGCCAATTAATGTTTATTGTTAAACTTTCACCGCAGTTAAAGTTTTAGGCTCTTTTGTCCTCCCTTAGTTGAATACAAGTAGACAAAATAATATACATAGTAATCAGATGTTAAGGGCAAAATTACCACTTTGCAAAAATGAATTGTATGGGCAAAGGGCGAAAGTTTGACCGGGAAAAAGTTTCCTGGTACACAAAAGTCTGCAGTGGTTGACCTTTCTAGAGAGACCAATATCTGTAAACATTGACCTCTTGTCTATGACGAACGATTTGTCTGGAGTCATTGAGCTCCAATCGAACGATATAGCAGACCTTTAACATACCATTGCAATATTTGAGTCTGTTAGGAAAACACAAACAGACAGTGTATCACGCATAAATCATCATGTTATTTATCAAATAGAATTAAACAGAATTGAATAGCAGTGTAATGACACATTGTTGTGGACTTGACACCCAATACGACGTACCGATATGACCCCAGAATTGTGGCCCAGATATGAATGAGGGATCAATGCTTGTCCCTTGGCAGGGTGTCTTGTCAGACCCGTCCCTAAGATTGGTACTGGGGTACCTAAAGGGCTCATATCAGGACAATCTCACAAGATCAGTGATGAACAAATACATCTCATTGTTGAAATAAAATTACTTTTAAATGTAATGGATAATTACCTGTTATGAGTGTCTATCTGCAATCAAAGAATATCAGTTAAGGGTGACTTGCATAACATGATGGACCACAGGTAAGGATAATCAATCTTATGAGATGATCTGTGATTAAAGATGACCACAGGTAAGGATTATCAATCTGATGAGATAATCTGTGATTAAAGATGACCACAGGTAAGGATTATCAATCTGATGAGATAATCTGTGATTAAAGATGACATGTAATGATAGACTTTCTATAATAATAGATTACCAGTAATGATACAATTACCTCTAATGAGACAGATTACCTGTAATAAGTAGAATACCTGTAATGATAGACTACCTGTATTGAGATAGGAAACCTGTAATAATACCTGTAATTAGATAGACTACCTGTGATAATGCCTGTAATGAGATAGACTACCTGTAAGGATAGACTACCACTAATAATACCTGTAATGAGATAGACTACCTGTAATGATAGACTACCTTTAATGATAGACTACCTGTAATTTGATAGAATATCTGTATTAATAGACTACCTGTAATAATACCTGTAATGAGATGGACAATTTGTTATGATAGACTACCTGTAATGATACCTGTAATGATAGACTACCTGTAATAATACCTGTAATGAGATAGACTACCTGTAATGATAGGCTACCTGTAATGATAGACTTTCTGTAATTAGATAGAATATCTGTAATAATAGACTACCTGTAATAATACCTGTAATGAGATGGACTATTTTTTATGATAGGCTACCTGTAATAATACCTGTTATGATAGACTACCTGTATTAATAC